CCCCAGCAGGGGCTGCTACTTCCGCAATGTTCCTCCTTGCGCTCGCGCCAGACACACTGTCCCCCGGCCGGGACCCCTTCCCAGGTAGCCGGTCACCAGTGGGTTGAGGACCACACTCCAGGCCCCTGTGATGAGCCCCAGCTTCCGCCAGTGGCTTCCCATGTCGGGCCGCAGGAAGCCGGCCACGTTGGAGGCATTGTAGGGTCCCAAGCAGAGCAACAGCGTGAGCAGGGCCCCGCCGGCCACCCAGGCTGCTCTCAGCTTCCGTCTGTGGCTCAGGCCCGAGTGGGCCAGTGCCCGGAGGCAGCCCACGTAGCAGAAGGCTGTGATGGCCAAGGGTAGAAAGAAGAGCAGGAGAGAGAGGCTGAGGCGGGCGGGGCCGGCCGCCGCTGGGTCCCAAGCTTCCATGCACACCGGGGAGCCGTTGACCGGGGTGTTGATGCCCAGGGAGCTGGTGCTGTTGTCCAGCCAGCCTCCCGGCGCCTCCAGGCAGAAGACCAGCCCCAGGTGACAGAGGACGAGGGCCCAGATGGCCGCACACACGCCCCAGGAGTAGCGTGGCCTGCGAAAGGCTTGGTAGCCCAAGGGGAAGGCAGCGCCCAGGTAGCGGCCCGCACTCAGCGCCGCCAGGAAGCCGCCTCCGGCGTAGATCGGGGAGAAGTGGAGCAGGGCGAAGGCGGGGCAGATGGCGGCGGGCAGCGGCCAGGCCCCTGAGGCCAGGGCCTCCATGGCCTTCAGGGGCAGGGAGATGGCCAGCAGGAGATCCGAGCAGCCCAGGTGGAGGGCGTAGACCAGGCTGGGGGTGAGGCGGCGCCGGGCCTGGGACGCAGCGCTGCGGATGGCCAGGACGTTGAGTGGGAAGCCGAGCGCAAAGGCCACCACGTAGAGGGCGAAGGAGAGCTGGGGGGGCAGCTGCATGGGCCCTGGCTGCCGCCTCCACGGCTCCTGCTGGGCGCGACGCGCTGTGTCCTCCGCTCGTGGCTGGGCGGCGCCGCGTCCCTTGGTCCCTCGGATGGAGGCCAGTGGGGCGGCTGGGGGCCCGGAGGCGGGGGGGCGGGGGCCGGGAGCCTGGGTGGGGAGCGAGCACCTCTAGGCCTTGATCCTCGGCCCCAGGGCCACCATATCACGGCTTACACAAGAGCAGTTTCAGGGTGCAACAGGGCGACGAGGGTACGGTGCGATCCCGACGGAGCGAGGGGACTGGGGAGAGAAGGGCGGGAGAGACCTCAGGACCCGCCGGCCCCGCAGTGCGTGCTTTCCTGGGGGAGGGGTGGGAGTCCTGAGTTCACTGCCTTCCCCCCCATGCCCTGGCAAGAGGAGGGGCTGCTCCCCTTCCCCACCCTGCCTCTCCGTGGCTGTCCAGGCTGGAGGCAGGAGGGCTGGTGACAACCCCGAGCCGAGGAAAAGAGAAGCCGGGCTCCGGGCGAGATGGAGGGATGGGCAGAGGGAGTGCCCTGGGCCAGTCCAATAAGGGTCATGGGAGTGACCTTAGCGGGCCCCCGGGGGCACCTGGCCAGAGGAGCAGGGCTCTGGGGCACAACCGTTGGTGACAACAGGAGCCACAGACGGAGGGACTCACCTGGAGGCACGGCCAGATGTCTCTGAGGCTCAAAGTGTGCCCGCGGGGCTGCAGCAGGACATTGCCGGAAGGGTGGGGAGGGCGGGGAGGCAGGGAGGCAGGGCCATTAGCCCCGGCACTGGCAGCTTGGGTGAGCAGCTAATGGGGCGTCCCAGCGGGAGCTGAGGCCAGACAGCAGGAAGCGAGGGTCTGAGGCAGCAATGGGGCCACTGGGGAGGGCCAAGGGAAGGAGGCGGGGTCTCCGGGGAGCGGTTGGCTGGCACGAAGGGGCACAGCTGCAACTCGGCTGTCTGCCTGTGCCCAGCCCCGCTCCTCTTCCCCCTGAGCCTGGGCTCCCTCGCAGCTAACTCTCTGCTGTGGGACCAGGACCTCCCTCTGCTCGAAGGAGCAGCGGGCATCGTCAGGGAGACGGGGCACCTCCATCCCCCCTCCTCTGGGGTTATGACCCACGAGGGCGGGAAGGAGGAGGCAGGCCAGGGACACGCAAGCGCCCTCGTGGCTGGTGCTGGAGTGAGCATGTAGTGGTCTCTGCTGTGCGCCCACTGGGCTGTATGGACGTCCCAGTGCACTCCTCCCTGGGGTGCCTGGGTGAGGTCACGGGTGGCACTCACTGGAGCACAGGGGACCCCTCCCAGTGGCAGCTTAACTTTCTTCTCTCAGCCCCTGGGGACCAACAGCTCTTTCACCTCCTTGTGGGGTCCCCTGAGCACCCAGGAAGCTCTCCTAGGCAAGATTTAAAAAGGCCCCAGAGGGTTAAAGCCCCAGCCCGCAGCGCCGGCATCCCATATGGGCACCAGTTCGAATCCCAGCTGCTCCACTTCTGATCCAGCTGCCTGCTATGGCCTGGGAAAGCAGCAGAGAATGGCTGAAGTCCTTGGGCCCCTGCACTCACGTGGGAGACCTGGAAGAAATTCCTGGCTCCCAGCTTCAGACCAGCTCAATTTGGGGAGTGAAGAAGGGGATGGAAGACCTCTCTCTCTCTCTCTCTCTCTCTCTCTCTCTGTAACTCTTTCAAATACATAAAATAAATCTTAAAGAAAATAAAGGTCCCGGAGATGATCATGTAGCCTAGTGGTTAGATACCAGAGTAACACAGACCCTGGGAGGCACCAGGTGAGGGCTCCCATGACTGCCACCCCCTTGGAGCTCTGGGGTGAGTCCTGGCTGGTGCAGGCGTCTGTGTTTGGGGGACTGAGCCCGCCGATCGGAGCTCTCCCTGTGTGCCTGTCTGTCTGGACAGATGAAAAAGAAAGGGGAAAAAGTCCTCTGCTTTCTCTGTCCCTGGGTCTGTGTGCGTCTGTCCGTCTCCGTCTGTCTGTCTCGCTGCTGCCTCTGGCCAACAACACCTGTTATGAAGAAGCCGCATGGACTTCATGGCTGTTGGCATCCAAGTAGTCTGCCTGTCCATTCCACTCTTTCCCATGAGTTTACAAAGCATTCATTCTCTTGAGAGAGCTCCCACCTGCTGGTTCTCTTTCCAAATGCCCACGATGGCCAGGCCCGCAGCGGGGAGCAGGGAACTCCATCCGGGGTCTCCCATGTGGGTGGCAGGGACCCTGCCAGCATCGGGGAGCTGGAGCCGAGCGTCGAGCCAGGAGCTCTGATGTGGAATGTGGGCGTCGTAACCCATGAGCTCTTGGAGGTCCCTTTGCAGCACCCTGTCCTCGGGGTCTCTACGCAGCGTCGCCATCTTAGCTGGCCGTCCTGACCCCTCCTCCCCAGCCCCTCCTCTACCTCTGCGTTCCTCTTGCCCCGAGTCTGTTCAGACATCCACAGCTGCGCCGGCACGTCTGTCTGTCAGCTCCTCTGCGCGGTGCCACCGGCCGGGCCGCTCTGCCCACTCATTGCAGGTTGCATGGCGGGCACTCAGGCAGCCCAGGCCCTGGGGGCACGGGGAGGTCTGGGGCTGGGCGGGGGGCTGCCCGTGTTCTGGAGTCCCTGGCCCGGAGCTGCCTGGCCACCTGCTCTTCACGCCTCAGCAGCGCCTGTTGACAGTCGCAGCTCGTGGTCACTGGGTCATGAAGAGGGGTTTATGTCAGCAGCTGGGCTCAGGGACGGCATGGGAGGCACCTGACAGTTGCTAGGGAGCCTGATCCAGGCCTCCTAAGCCCTGGGGCTGCCTTCAGCTCCCTCGAGGGGACAACAAGCCAACACCTTTGGGTCCCTAGACCAGACCAGACATGCCCAAGATTGGCACCCATCTTTTTCCATTCAGAACTGCTGTCCCTGTGGTAGATGCATTCAAGTGCCCAGTATATGCTTGCTGAATGAATGAATGAGTGACTGAGTGGTTGAGTGACAACAGACCTTCCTTTGAATACCGAAACTCCAAGCTCTCGACGTCTCACCTTCTTCTGGGAAAGTTGATGGTGGGCCCACAAAATCCAACTGGGGACCGAGTGGGTTGCTGGGGAAGCCAGTGCCTCCCTCTGCCATAGTTCCAGGAACCACCATGCTGGCAGTGAGCAGAGGCGAGAGGGGTGGGGAAGAA